ACATTGTCATTGACGCTATCAGTCCGAAGTAGCACTGTGTGTGAACGAAGCTGGTTACCCGTTCATGCTTTATACGTTTGAGGGTGAGTGCAGGAATGGTTGGTCGAGAGCAACGATGTATTTGCAGTGATATGATTTCATGGATACAGTCTGAAAGTGCTATTGGTGATTGCTTCTGTGCCTTGAAACTTAGAAATGCTGTCATGAAATCGGTAAGATATTCTCAGTTTCACACCGGCACTGGACAACTTTGTCACACCCCGTTAGTGACAGCGTCGAATGAAGGTGTCTTACGTGGTCTCTCGCTATGTGTGTGTGTGTGCCATGAGAGTATTATGCTCTAGGGCTGGTGGCACGCTTTTCACGTAGTCCAATTTTGGCAGGCATTACAATAAGGGAGGTCGCTGTATGGCATCAGATACGCCCCCTTGGTCTAGACTGGCCGCAAGCTTATCTTGCGATAACGGGAACGTAGTTCAGTCACTCGGAGGAGATTGCCGCCATTAATTGAGGCTCAGCCGCGACACGAATGTCAAAGGTAATTGTCTGAAACGGAGTGAGCAATAGAATCGTGTAGAATGCCGTCGGAATCGCTTCTCTCTTCGTGTTTGCCTATCCTGTAATGAACTCCTGCACTCAGTTGTTTCCTTCACTATTTTGGTTATCCTCAAAAGATCATCGGATATTGCTCTATGCTCCCGGCACTTCATTACACAAACTCCTGCTGGTATTTGTATATCACATGGACCTACGGGAGCGGTACTTGTGCGGGCGTTTTTATGTCTATTTTCTTCCAAAAGGAACGTTATCTATAACTGCTTCTCACACTGTTTTGTATCTTGCATTCAATTCTCATATCCGACTATTGTTGTGGAGCAGCGAATTTAGAGTACTAGGTGCTTAGACTGATGACATGCATACATATCTCTTGATTTTATTGTCTTCACCTTGCTTTTCCTACGGGACTTGTTAACCATCTGCCTTTTTGCTCGTGATAAGTCGTTGTTCTTGGTGAATTTCCCTAGAGCTCTCATACTTTTGCTTCGTTAGGTCGCTCGCTGATTCCGGGTTGTGATTGATGAATGCGGTTTGGTGTGGAGTTTTCGCTCTTTCCAGGCGTCTTGTATGCTGCTTCACGTGTGGCGGCCTCTTGCAGGACGCGAAATGAATTGGAGCTATTTCGCAGATCGCGCGACCCGCGTATCTGATACTTGCTCCTACATTACTAGTGAAGCCTAGATGCTGTGTTCACTGTTGGTGTTACACGTATCGTGTCCCGTCGACTGTATGTCTATTTGATAGACTGCTGACTATACTACTAGTTGACTCTACGAACGTGTTCAATGTTCCATTTGTGCGTTTTTTTCGTCTCTGATGCTTTGGTGATAGATTATGCTGTACCAATCATGTGTTTGTTGCCCTGATTTCATGGTTCACTGTAGGCATGTCAAGTTAACTGACACATTAAATCTCATGCAGCTGAGACTGGCTTGGGATATGCGGCGGCGAATTTGTCAAGGAAGGTGAGTTTAGTAAGGTGAATACGAGTTGGATAGCTCGTGGATTCGCTGGTTGCGCCAAATGTATCGGACCGAATGTCGGTGTTTGTGACGTTGAGATCGAGCACGACATGAACTGTGTGAGAAGTGTTCGCGAACGTGGAGTGGATCCCCGATCTGGCCACATGTGTGGCCGAGTCTGATACTCGCTCGCAGTGTCATTTCATCGCCTCGACTGATTCTCACTGACTGGGCTTTACTTCTTAGTGCTGTACACTGAGTCTGTATCGAGTTGTTAGAGCTGAGCGTTCATGAGGCAGTGTCTCACTAGGTTACTAGGAAGCTGCTTTTCTCTAATTGTATTCTTGTGGCTTAATCGCGTTCTATCTCCCTCTCTCTCTCTCTCACTTCCTCGCGTTAGCCGTTTTGGTGCATTAGGTACTGTTACCTTATTCCTTCCTCTGTGATTTGAAACTCTCGATATTGTCGTCCTGTGCTGTTGTATTGTGTGTCACGTCGATTGTGTATGCGGTGCGTTGTACGAGTGCGAGCACTGAGTTTCCGAATACGAAGTGCACAGATTAGGTGCCCATGACCTGGCAAGAAGAATGTTAACTTTGTTCCATTCTGAACATTGTTCAGTGAATTCAACTCACCGAACCCTAGGTCAGCATCCCGGTACAGCTTCGAAGTCATAAGGGTCGTTGTGCTCTGCCAGTTAGTATGGAACTCAGTCGATGTCACTGGAGGTTGGTGATTTTCTATGACTACAAATGTGGTTTGAAGCGGCACCAGGGTGTTGAGCGATTGCGTGCTGCGTTTGTTGATGATGCGCCTTTAAGAACCACCGTGTTTGAGTGGTTTGCGGATTTCACGCGTGGCAGGTTGTCCTTGGTTGATGAAACACGGTGTGGTCGACCTGTGGATGCCACCACCGTGGACAACATTGCTGCTTTGCAAGTGATGCTTGAGGAGGACGCGTGGGTGACTGTAGTACGATTAGTGGAAACCATCAGGATGCAATCGGGCTTGGTATTCTTTAATGATTTATAGCTTTGTTTGTGCTTTCTAAGCAAAATCCCTTTTCTTAACGCTTTGGTGTATTTTTCTGACTCGAAATCCATATTCCTATCTGCATCTTCCTTTGGTATTCGGACGGACATTTATGTTTCTCCCTGAGCTCTGTTGCAGATGAAGGCGGGCCGGTGGTCAGTATGATTGTAGACAATAGGCGAATTCTATTTTGCTGTGACGTTTTGCCCGGCTCGCTATTGCATAAAATCCACTGTTGATCATTCACCAATCGATTCGGCGCTTAATATGCACCGCGCAAGGTGGCATATCTAAAGGCATTGACAATTGTCTATTGCTGAAAAGACGTTGAACCAGACACGTATACAAACAACATGCGAAGAAAAAAGGATTCATATTGATTTGGATGCACGATGTACAGTCTGTCCATCGTTGTTTCTTCGAAGACACTAGGTTGTGCGTTGACGCACTCTCCTCGTTTGATCGTTCAGATGGTTTGCTACTCGCAATCCATGTATAATCCGTGGACACTTTAGAATACGGCGATTTTTCTCAAACCTGTCATTTTGACATAACATAAAGAAAGCAGTTAACGTAGCCTATGGATTTACGGCCATTTGGTGAACCTTTGCAGCTGTGAAATAAACTCGCTTTCCAGATGTACTACTAAGTGTACATCAGCTGGACTCCGTTCATTTACAGGAACTGAAAGAATGCGCCATACAGATTCCTTACTGCTTACGTATCTTTTAGCCTGCTACAGAGCGCTTTCATCTATATGTAAGCCCCTTATTCATATCACTTCTGTCTGGTATCAGGCCCAAAACTGATAAGTCGCTACCGATGTTCACGTACTTACAAATGTATTGGTCGATTTAACGGAGTCACAGTATTCCACTTTAATGTGCGCCTTATATGTTTTTGATAGCAAAGGCGAATATGGAACAACCGACAAACCAGGGTCAGTTTTCAGACGGCCGGACACACCGGCCCGTCTATGATGCGGTTGATCCCTTGAACCGCTTGCACCGACATACCCGCGCTCACTACCATCTGAGCAGACAAATGTCATCTGATCCATTGCATGAAAACGATGGGCCACAAGACCAGCTGGTCCCACCTCATTACCCATATCTTTCGGGCTTCTTCACGTTGATGCCCAAGACACCGGGGGAGAAACGTAGCCTCGCGGCCTGGCTCCTCCTACTAACCGTCCCAGCAGCCCGACTTCTACACCCATGGCAGGGCTTTGTACCCCTCACTACAAGCTCCATCGTGCACTGCCGCAGAATACGTTAAAAGCGCATGTCCCCATCTACTAGATGGCATACTGCATGCGATTGGCGGGCATCGATTCCAAGCTGAGAAATGCACGCCGGCCCGGTTATCGCTCGCATGGGTGCGCTAATAGACTACAGGCTTCCGTTGATCGATTCATTCGTTCAATGACGAATTTAGAACGGCAAGTTGACACATTTACTCCTTGGCTGTAGAGGTCAGCAAGTAGTCCCGGACACCTGTGATAATCGGTGTTTCCTGGAGCGTCCCCCTTTGATGCCTCGCATGGCCAGGGGATATGTGCTCCTAATGAATGAAGAGCGAACCCTTCCCATGATTTGTTAACTTGGCCAGATGAGCCATGATTTGGGGCGGTGTGCCGCACCACGAACACACTTCACGCCCCCCAAGAATCGGACGTAACGAGCGCCATCTGCGCCGCCACTAGCGGTGCCTACAGAGCCCAGGACTGGGGTTGGGGAAGGGGTCCCCAACCGGCGGGTACTCTTCGCAAGGAGCACTCCCTTTCGAGGCCCACTGTATTTTGGAAAGCAGAATTTTTATGAGCCTTTCCCGCTGATTGCGAAATGCCGATCACCCACCGTACCAACGCATGGGAGCCGACATAGAGCAAACCCGAGGGTGTACCAGCCACCTCCGACCTCCCACACAGTCTCAAGTCAACGAACTTCGCTATCAGGCACGGCATCGGACGCGCACACGAGTGCATTATGCGCCTTCATAGGTAGTTGTTCAGACCCTTGGGACACATGGGTCTAGCTAGGAAGAAGCCTTGAAATACACGTCGTAACAGGTCAACGACCCGTGCAACGCCCTCAAGCCTAGCATACGGAGGCTACCCAAGTAAATACCCAAGGCACGGAGACCGAAGGATGATCCTGAGTAAATATGTCCACGATTAGAGATAATGAGGGGCAGATGTATAAGTTGCAGAAAGTCAGTATCTCGGGCCCGGAGCCAGTCACCAATGGCAATGTTTGTTTCCGGCAACCCATACTTAGCAATTTTGACATCCCAACTCTCACGCAACCTATAACCTGCCACGATGGTTACATCGACCACATAAGCCACCCCCGATAACGGTGATAAGATCGGGCTTACAAAAGCTACACACGAGTGGAATATGCGGCTCCTCATACACCCCAACCGCGAACTTGCGGAAAAGCTCAGCTAGCTTCTTAGCCACCTTGTTCTGGCGCAGAATCCTAGCCTTGTGCGTCTTAGCACACGTTTGAAGGATGTGTTTAGACTCGGGCTCCCCACACACACCCCCGAACAATTCACTTCAACCAAGCGGGCTCCCCGGCTACTCCTGACATGTGTGTACAAACACCCTGCGCGCAATTGGATGGAACGGATATACAGTCGGGAGAACATTTTACCAGGATGGGATACCCATGAGGTGGACTCCACGCCCATAGGTTCAATAGCCAGATCCCTCCCGTCTGAACTCGACAACCACAACGCTCTCCAAGCAGCTGCGGCCTCCTCCTTCGTGCACACCACAATTCCACCTACACTGACGGGCTGGTTAACCGCATGGAGTATGCGCGCTTGGCCCTCCTGCATTGCCACCTCTCTCACAGTAGAATGCGGCGAACCGACCAACTTGGCGAACCGTTCCCGCTGCAACAGAGGTACCAACACAGAAAGACATGGAATACCGAGTCCACCGGCCTTTGAGGGTGTGTGTAGAAGCCCATTGACCGCATCCTTAGGTAGCTTAAGCCACCTTCTGACAGCGCCTCGGATCTGGACATGCAGACGACGAAGAACTCGTCGTTTTACGGTTTGCAGAACCAACTGGTGTAGGAACTCTGGTACTAAAAATATCAAAAGAATCTCCATTCGCTGACATGGCTTCAACGGCGCCCGTGTGATCCGGTTCAGGTAAGTGACCAGTTCCTGACCAATCAACCCCCCGGTTTTCCCTCTCCAAGAGAATTCCAGACCAAGGTACCGGACTACCGTATCCACTTCCATCAACAGTAGAGACTCCTCCTCTAGACGGTAAACAATTGGTGCCAAGGCAGTGTTACCCACCTTTCGATTAGCCAGGATCGTCATCGACATTGATTTCTTGATATTTACCAACATACCAGCTCGAGCCAGAGCGGCGTCGGCGGCAGTCAGTTTTGCAGACAAGCCACTACTGTCCTCTGCAAAAAGAACAAGATCATCGGCATAAGCAACGGCGTCACGCACTGTTGATCCCAATGGAAAACCACTAGACGGGTCTGCCGCCAGCAATACCTTATCCATGGCCATGATGAAGAGAATTGGGGACAGTGGATCTCCTTGACGTACGCCGCGTCGGTTATGAATGGAGCAATTATACAGAATGGCTTCACCACACGTATATATGTTTCGGATATATGTCATCAATAGTGGTGGAGCTCCAAAGGACCGTGCACTACGGAGGATCGTATCGAACGACAGATAGTCAAAAGCCTTGGAAATGTCGATAAAGGCTGCCGCTAGACTCCTACTCTTACCCGCGCTTTCGCGCAGCGCCTCGTGTAGTGCTAAATTGGCTTCCATGCACCCATTCATCGCCAAAACTGCCACCTGTAGGGAATTGAGCACCAGCAACTGAGACCACCTTTTAGCAAGTACCTTATGGAGACACCGTATTATTACTGAGGCTACCGCAATCGGGCAATCGGGCGCCATAAAAGACGTTGGTATCTTTCGTAGGCTCTTGTTTGTTAACTCATCAAGGCCTGCAGCCGAGTCAGTGCGCATTCGGCGAACGGCATCCTTAACCTCCTCAGAGGTAATAGGTGCTACTAAGCTCCAATCCATGTCCGCGCAATTCCTGGACGGCCTATCGTCCGGCGTACTGAGAACCCCCAGCACATCCTTCCAACAGGTTAACAGCTCAGCTTGAGAGGGACCAGCCGCCTTACTCTACGACGACCACGTACCCTCTAACACCTGCGTTGCTGCATCTTTCCGCCTGCGAACAAAAACTTTCTGGATCTTCGCATAGCAACGTCGCCGTTCGACTCGCGCTGACTTGGGTTTAGCGACTGGCTTACTGGCCCGCGGGCAATGAACCGGTTGGTGAGGAAAATGCAACTTCGCACGCGCATCGTGCTCCTTCGATAAACTTTTGCCTCACACAAAGCCGCTCTCCTCATCCCGCACCGCGTCCAGCAGTTTCAGCCTTCCCAGTTGGTCCAATCCTGTCTCTGTCGACAAGAGATCAGCGGCTGCACGTAATATTGGAAGTACAGATCGAGCTAGGACTGGTTCAGAGTCCACGTTAATGCTCGTCAATGGACTCGGCGTTCTATCCAAATCGACATCGCGCTCTAATGGGGTCACCTCGGGTGTTGCTTTGACTGAATGCTGTCCCCCACGATACGTAGGAAGATATCCTCTTCGGTCCTATGTGACAGCCGTTTGATGAGAGTTTTAGCCAGCTCACGCCGAAAGCCTGTGATCACTGACACTCTCATGACCTACCGATGACCTGCTGCTAGCGTGCACTCTGATCAGCCCGACTTCCCAAAGCAGGAGACCGGCGTACGGCTGGCACGTATATTTGCTTAACGTCCAACTAACGGTACATTCAATTTATGGCCAAATCAATAGCCCTCAGCGTAAAACGCTCTCATTGGCTGGTTCCGTCCCATTAACACCTTCCCCCGCAAAAGTTGACATAAGACTTCATTTTTGGATCCAACTGCATTCTTACGACAGGTCTCCGTAGTCGATCAGTACAGCGCCGGGTCTGGACCTTCGGTTCCTCTGAGACTTCTGTGCGGGATGCATCCGAATTGCTTTGGGGATTAGATGGCATGTCGAAACTCTCTAGTAGAATATCTAACGGTAGTAACCGAGCGCTTGTGCCCGCAGGGATGCTAGTTGGTCGCAGCTGATTGGAATGCCTGGTCCAAATCAAATTACCCACATTAACCTCATATAGCACCTGTCCAATATTTCTCCGTATCGATCCTACCACCCATTGCGGGTTTCCCGCGCGATAGTCTCTTACTAAGACACGCTGTCCGGGGTAAAAGCGGCGTGCTTGAGTTCTGTGTCGCTCGTTGTAGTACTGCTCCATCCGAACGTTCCTTTCTTGCTCATTAGTACACCTCGGAGTTAGCAGGGAATTCACAGTACGGAGTTTTCTTCCCATTAGTGCTTCTGCCGGCGACAACTGGTTTGGTACTTGGGGATTTGAAGTTGATCTGTACACGAGCAAAAATGTATCAAGTATCTCCTGTGTGGTTCCTTCCCCCCGCATCTTTAGTAGCGATCGCTTAAACGTGTCGACGAAGCGCTCTGCTTGTCCATTTGACTGAGGGTGAAACGGTGGCGACCGTAGATGCGTGATACCATGCTGTGCGCAGTATTCGGCAAATTGGGAAGAAGTGAACTGAGAACCATTGTCAGTGACCAAGGTTTCTGGTATTCCGTGTTGACTGAAAAGTCTCCTCAAAATGTTAATTGTTGCACCACTTGTCGCACGCTCCATACAGAAGACCTCAGGCCATTTACTATAGGAATCAACAACTATTAGGTACTGCTGACCGTTTAGGGGACCAAAGAAATCAGCGTGCACGCGTTCCCACGGTTTTGTTGCCAACGGCCAGGAAGCTAAGTCAGCTTTTCTCGGTGCCTTACTAGCAAGCGCGCATCTGGGACATGACTTTACTAGTTGCTCGAGTTCCGAATCAATGTTTGGCCAGTAGACAAAACTCCGAGCAATGCTTTTCATTCTGTTAATTCCAGGATGTGCCCGATGAAATTGCTGAAGGACTCTTTGGCGAAGTTCTTTGGGTATGACAATTCTCTCGGCCAAAAGTAAACACCCATTTACGATCGAAAGTTCGTCCTTTCTCCGAGAGAGAATTTGTAGCTCTCCGGATAGAGTATCACTTGGCCACTGCGTAGTGTGAAATTTGATTACCTGGCGCAAGAGGGGATCTCGCACAGTTGCGTCACGTACCATGTCAAACGTCACGGGAAGCTTCCTAAAATTCTCCATCAAGACCTGGTTGACCTCTGATTCAAGGGAGATTGCTGCAATTATAGATTCTTCCTGCTGATGCTGTTGTAGCTCCAATAACCGGGAAAGTGCGTCTGCTTGACCTATGTCCTTTGTAGCCGTGTACTTCACCGCAAAATCATAGGCGAGTAAGGCCGTGGCCCAACGCTGCAGTCTGTTCGCGGTATAAACGGGTATACCGGACTTTGATCCAAATATGGCTAGGAGTGGTTTATGGTCGGTAAGCAGGGTAAACCTCCTGCCATACAACATTTTGTGAAATTTCTTTATTGCAAAGACTATCGCTAATGCCTCTTTCTCTATCTGCCCGTAATTCTTTTCGGCTGGCGACAGTGATCGAGCTGCGTGTGCGATCGCTTTTTCCGATCCGTCAGCAAACTTATGAGAGATAACTGCACCCACGCCATACTTCGAAGCGTCTGCCGCCACCACGATTTCAAGTGTAGGGTCGTAATGTGTCAGCAAAAGGTCAGAACACAGCATTCGCTTCACCTCCTCAAAGGACTTCTGACAATCTTCGGACCAGTGCCAACGTTTGTCCTTGGTGAGTAACTCATTGAGTGGTCCACGCACGCTGTGCATATGTGGCAGAAATTGACTGTAATGACTGACGAGTCCTAAGAAGGACCTCAGAGTAGGCACATCTTTGGGAGGTGGCATCTTTTTTATAGCATCAATGTTTGACGGATCTGGACGTCTACCGTTCTTGTCAATTATGAAGCCAAGAAAATTAATGGAGTCCATGAAAAACGTGCACTTTTCTGGGCGAAGTCTAAATCCGTACTCTTGTATGCGATCAAGTACTAAGTGCAGCTTTCTGAAAAGGTCATCTGGGTTAGTTCCGACGACAATGATATCGTCCAAATATGCGGCAGCACCATCTACATCTGTTAGCATAGTATCCATGATTTGCTGAAAAATTGCTGGCGCGGACTTAACTCCGAATGGAAGTCGATGATACTGATACAAACCTCGGTGCGTATTTATCGTCAGTAATTCTCTAGAAGCTTCATCAACTTCTATTTGTAAGTACGCATCCGATAGATCTAGCTTGGCAAAACACTGACCCCCATTTAGTTTCGAGAACAAATCATCTGGGACTGGCAGAGGATACTGATGCGTGTTTAACGCTTCATTCAGCCCAGTAGAAAAGTCGGCACATATTCGGATCTGGCCGTTCGGCTTCTTGACAACCACAATTGGAGCCGCCCAAGAAGAGTAGTTCACTGCATAGATAACCCCAAGTTTCTCCAAACGATCAAGTTCCTGGTCAACAATTGGGACTGCTGCGTAAGGTACTGGCCGCTTTGCACGGAAAACAGGAACAGCATCGGGTTTTAAGGACAATGAGGCTTGCAACTTTGTACACTTACCAAGTCCTTCACGGAAAACAGGTGCATATTTCTCTCGAATTTGTTCGATTGCCATTGCCTTGGGGACTTTTGGTTTGTGTAAGTGTACACTTGCACAGATTTGATTAATGGGAACATCTAAGAGGTTGAATCGCTCAATCCAGTCTAATCCAAGGAGGTTCAAATTCTTGTGTGTTGTGACGAAAATAGTTCCCCAAGCGGTGAAGTTGGCAAAGCGACACTCACATTCAATCTGACCGATCAAGTTTAGACTCGTACCTGATGCGCTCTTCGCTTTATGGTTAGTTGGTTTAATGTCAGGTGAACCGATAGCTTTCCATAAGTTTTCCGTAATGACTGTAATATCGGAAGCCGTATCAATCTGCAGACGCGCTACTCTTCCGTTGATGGTAATAGTGACGAACTTTCTTCTATCTTTAACATCGTCCGTATAGTTAGCGTTTACTCTTGTCGCGAACCTTCGGTAACCTGCTTTTCGAGTATCACATGACGATCTAAATGATGTTTTGAATCTGCAGTGGGTCTCCTTGTGCCCCCGTCTAAAGCACCTTTGACAAACATGTTTGCTGAAAGGACACCATCTCACAAAATGCCATCCTCCGCATTGCCAGCAAGGTGATGGGGGTTTGGATTGTGGATATCTGCTAGGTTGAGCGGTCGGTGGGTTGTTTCCTGAAATTTGCTGGACAGATATATCTGCGGAATGTGCTCTCGAATCTTCCACCATAGCCGTATCGTGCTTTAAATTCATGATTCTTTGGGCTTCAGCAATGGCGTTTTGTAATGTAACATCTGTGTCGCGTTCCAACATACCAAGTATTCTCGTTCGTATCTCGGCGTCTTTTGGGGACTGTAGACTGCATACTAGTATCAAACACTCGAACTGGTCTTCCGTGAGCGACTTCAGTTTGAATTTCTGGCATTCACGTTTGACTATCGCCGCGTGAGCAATAAGACTGTCATTGTCCTTTTTGCATAGCTTTAGACAATTGTATCGGTTATTGAAAAGAGACGACTGGTCTCCAAACAACGCTGTGAGTCGAGCAACTGTATCATCAAAGCTGAAATCATGCGCGTTGTTTGGCAAAATGTAGTTAATGTATCTGTCATGTTCAACCGTTCCGAGTTTTCGTAACAAAAGGCGAACTTTAGATGCATCATCGAGACCTGACAACTCTGCCCTGA